TTTGTTGATTTGCATATGTTGAACCATCCCTGCATCCCTGGGATGAATCCCACTTGATCAGGATGTATGATGTTCTTGATGATCTTCTGCATTCTATTTTCTGGTGTCTTATTAAGGATTTTTGCATCTATGTTCATTAGTTAGATTGGCCTATAGTTCTCTTTTTTGGTTGGGACTTTCTCTGCTTTGAGAATCAAGGTGATATTTGCTTCCAGGAATGAAGCATTGTTTCCCATTCAATTTCATTGAAGAGTTTAAACAGGAGTGGCAGTAGTTCCTCTCTAAGTGTCTTGTAGAATGCAGCAGTGAAGCCATCAGGACCCAGGCTTTTCTTAGTTGGTAAATTTTTAGTTACATTTTCAATTTCATTAATTTATATTGGGTCACTTAGAATTTTTAGGTCATCTTCATTCAACTGTGGTAATTGATATGTATCTAGGAATCTTTCCATTTCTTCTGTATTTTCCATCTTATTGGCATATAGGTTCTTGAAGTAGGTATTGATGATCCTCTGGATTTCTGCTGGGTCTGTTGTAATTTCACCCTTTTCATTACTAATTGCATGGATTTGGGCCTTTTCTTTACTTTTTTGGATAAATTTAGCAAAGGGTTTGTCCATTTTGTTTATTAGAAGAACCAACTTGGTTTCATTGATTTTTTTTTTTTATTGTTCTCTTAGTCTCCATTGCATTGATTTCTGCTCTGATCTTTATAATTTCCTCCCTTGTATGAGTTTTGGGTTTGTCCTGCTCTTCTTTTTCTAGAAGCTTGAGGTTCAGCATCAGGTTGTGTAATTGAGCTCGCTCGGTTTTCCTAATATGAGTATTCACTGCTATGAATTTCCCTTGTTGTCTTTTCATACTTTCATTGTGTCCCATAGATTCCTATATGTTGTATTGTCATTGTCATTTATTTTTTGTTTGTTTGTTTGAGACAGGGTCTCACTATGTAGTTGAGACTGACCTGGAACTCACTGTGTAGCCCAGGCTGGTCTTGAACTTGCAGTGATCCTCCTGCCTCAGCCTTCCACATGCTGGGATTACAGCTGTGCATTACCATGCCCGGCATCATTGTCATTTAATTGTAGGAACTGTCTCATTTCTTCAATTTCCTCTGTGACCCATTGGTTATTCAGGAATGTGTTGTTCAATTTCCATATGTTTATGAAATTCTTGTGGTTTCTTTTGCTATTGAGTTCCAGTTTCATCACACTATAGTCTGAATATATACAAGGGATAATTTCATTTCCTTTGCACTTACTTAAACATGTTGTATGAGTGAGTATGTGGTCTCTTTTGAAGAATGACCCATGTGCAGCTTAAAAGAATGTGTATTCTGATTTTGTAGGGTGGAGTACTGTAAACATCTGTTAGGATCATTTGTGCAAGAGTTTGATTGAGTTCTAGGTTTTGTTGTTTATTTTTTGTCTAGTTGATCTATTTGTGACAGCAGGGTATTGAGGTCCTCCACTACTATTGTATTAGTGCTTGTATGATCTTTCCATGTCTGTTAGTATTTGTTTTATATAGTTGGGTGCACTAGTGTTGATGCATATATATTAATGATGGTCATCTCTTCCTCCTGGATTAGGATGTTGTGTCTTTCTCTGTCTCTCTTAATCAGAGTTGGTTTGAGATCCACTTCATCTGCAAATAGGATAGCTATTCCTGCTTTTGTTTTGGTTCCTGTCACATTAAGTATTGTTTTCTACCCTTTAACTTTCAGTCTTTGAGTATCTTTTTGAATTAAGTGTGTTTCTTGTATGCTGCATATGATTGGTGAATTGAGACCATTAACATTGCTGGTTATAACTGATATGTATTGGCTTATCCTTGTCATGGCTTTTTGTTTTTGCTCGCTTTTCCCCCTTTGCATTTAATTTCTTGTCATGGCTGATGGATTCATTCTGCTGGGGTCCCTGGGGCTTTGATCCTTGTTGTCTTTTCCTAGGATATTTAAAATTTTTTGGAGTGCTGGTTTGGTCTTCATGAAGTTCTTAAGGTCCTCTTTGTCATGAAAATATCTTATTTCTCCATCAATTTTGAAAGATAGGTTTGCAGGGTACATCAGTCTGAGTTAGAAGTTGTTTTCCTTTAGGGCTTGAAATATATCACTCCACACTCTTCTTTACCTGTGGGTTTGTGTTGAGAAGTTGCTGAGATTCTGATGGGCTTTCTTTTGTATGTGATTTGTTTCTTTTCTCTGACTGCTTGTAGAATTTTGTTGTTCTGTTGGGTTTTTTGGAATCTTAACTATTATATGCCTAATTGTAGATTTTTTTTTTTTTAAATCACGGCTAGTTGGAGTCCTATATGCCTTACTTTTCTGTATGTCAAGCTCTTTTCCACTATTTGGGAAGTTTTCTGCCATTACTTCTCTGAACAGTTTTTTTATGTCATCTGCACTTTCTCCTGTTTCTTTATTGACTCCGATCAGTCTTTATGTTATTCTTCTTTGCATGATCTTGCAGCTATTGGATTGATTTCTTGTCCCTTACTATTTTAAAGAACTTTTTCTTTTCCTGGTCACTAATTGCAATCCTATCTACTATATCTGAAATTCTGTCCTCGCATTGGCTCATTCTGCTGTATAAACTTTTAATGGAGTTTTTAATCTCCTGGAAATCTGTTTGCATGTGTTTTAATGGATTCCATTTGTTTCCTATGTTAGGTTTCCATCATGTTCCTTAGATCCTCTTTTTTTTGTGTGTCTGCTCTACATTTATTAATCATGTTTTGTACTATGGAGACAAATCTCTGCTGTTATCTGAGAAATTATTTCTGATTTCATTTTTTCCAGGTCTTCTTTTGTTGCCAATTCAGGGAGTCCAGGTGGTTGAGTATCAGATTGTTCTACCTCATTGCCCTTTGGGGTTGCCTTAGGTGATCTGGAAGTCTGCTTTTGAGACTTATTTCCATGTCTTCTTATTTCAACAGATGGAGCCTCCTGTGCCTTTCTTGAGGCAACTTTTTGCTCACCCAGTGGTCTTCAGTCCTCAGCAAGCCACCAAGTGTCCTTTTCTCTGCTATTCACTAGTACACCAATTCCTGGGTTTAGAGTGGTGGCCTTCTATATCCCTGAGCTGACCTATTGTCTGGGCAGGATTCTGGCTGAGACGTGTGCACACTTGGGATGCTATCTATCTAGATGTGCCCCTTGCTGGGGCCCCTATGTATCTGTTGTCTGGGAGGACCTTTGGCTGGGGGCTGTGTACCCAAGTTCCTAATCAGACTTCTGGCTAGCATCTCCATGCACTTATCAGAGGCAGTGAGCCTCTGGCTGTTGCTTGTGCATCTGTGTAGTTCTTTTTCCATGCAGGCCCTGGCTATGGCTGATGGTATGGCAGACCTCTGGCTGAAGCTTGTGCACCTGTGCAGCTCTTTTCTAGGCAGGCCTTTGGCTGTGGTGGGTGTTCTTGTGCCTCTCAGTTTAGGGCAGGGCCCTGGCTGGGATCTGCCTGCAGCTGTGCCATTCTGGTCCACACAGCTGCTCCCTGGGATCGGTGTGCACTTACCAATGGTATGACAGGCCTCTGGCTGAAGGTTGTGTGCCTGTAAATTAGACTATTCTACACTGAAAAAGAAACAAATCCATTTTCTTCATTTCTAGTTTTTCACACCTATTGATTAGGTCCTATGTTATATATCTTGAGTCTGTCAAAATGTTTTGAAACAAAATAATTAGACTTCCAAGAGACATAAATGAATTTTGGAATAAGGGCAACAGATTGCCATCATATAGTAGTCTCTGAACTTTAAAAAATAATCTGAGCAGGGCATGGTGGTACACACCTGTAATCCTAGCACTTGGAAGACTGAGGCAGGAGGGTCGCCGTGAGTTTGAGGCCAGCCTGGGCTACGAAGTGAGTTCAAGGCTAGGCTCCCCTCAAAAAAAAAAAAAAAAAAAAAAAAACCAGGGCTGGGGATTTAGCTCAGTGGTTCCGCCGCCTGCCTCGCAAGCACAAGGACCCGAGTTCGATCCCTGGTACCAAAAAAACCAATACCAAAACAAAAAGAACCACTTAGTTTGGCGAGAAATCTTCCAAACATCATTCTTTTACTGTATGTATATCCAAACTTTTATATTAAATGTGTGGTCCTCATGTTACGGTTTGAGATAATTAAATTTTGGAAGAAAGCCCCAGCAAATTTAAATGCTGTTCTTATTTGTGTTGCTGTTCAGGTCTGATAGGTCTGATATACACTTAAAAAGTCATCCTTTGAGAGCAGTATCTTTTTTTTGTTTGAGACAGGGTCTCACTATGTAGTTGAGACTGACCTGGAACTCACTATGTAGGCTGGTCTCGAACTCACAGTGATCCTCCTGCCTTAGCCTCCCGAGTGCTGGGATTACAGGCGTGCGCCACCACGCCTGGCTTTGAGAGCAGTATTTTGAATTTAGATCAAGTGTACAAGAACCCAGACTGAGAACAGAGGGAAACTGTTGAGCTCTTAGGTGAGCAGGAGCTGTGGCCTCAGGTGCAGACATGGGAATAGCTGGCCTGAGCCATCAGAATGGAAGCTGATCTCAATAACCAGGCCTTCAGAGCTCCCCAAAGTCAGAGATAACCTGACCCGTCTCAGTTAAATGCAGAGGCTTTTGGTTCTGTGTATTTCATTATTCTTGTTGATTTTAGGGAAATTATCCAGTCTCTCCTTTCTGAAAGAAGTTTTATAGTTCTTTGTTGTTACCATGTGCTCTACATAATAGGTTTGAAATAATTTCGGGGGCTGGAGTCTCACCCAGGGACACTCTACTAGAGAGCAATGTCACCAGCCCTTTTTATTCTTTGAGACAGGGTCTTGCTAAATTGTCCAGGTGGCTTTGAACTTAAGTTCTTCCTGCCTCACCCTCCTGAGTAACTGGGGTTGTAGGGATGTCCATTTTACTTAGCTTGAGATAATTCTTTTAAAAACTAGAGATTACTACAATTCATTTAAAATGTAAGGAAAGAATATACTAAGAGGTTGTTCTGTGATTTGTTTCTTCTTTCTGGATAGGTGGCTTCCCCAGAACAGAGCATCTCTGCACTAAGCCCTGTTGTTACTTATTCTTTGGACTCAAGGCGTGAAGACTTCATGGTAGAATTCTCTGAGAAGTCCCTGAGAGCAAGAACATTACCTGGTAAACACTTTCCTGGCTGGGAGAGTAGTGGTGATGGTACTGCTTGCATCTGTCCGTCTAGGCAGTGTGACTCTTATTTGGGAGTCACTGAGGAGATCCTCGCCCCCAATTCTGGGTTAGCTCCCTTAAAGCCTCCCGTACCTTGTGTGTGACTTTCGTGGACAGTTGTTCTGGGTCTGAAACTTCCTCTCACTCCCAGTTCCTTCTTTCCCCAGCTTTCTCTTCCCATCCCTCAGAAAGTGTCTTCTCCCATCGCTGTTCTCCGCTGCTGCCCCAGAGCTAGCACCCCCATGGTGCCCTCTTTTCCTGAAGAATGGTTTGTGGCAAACGTCTCAGCCATACCCTCGGGGACCTGAGTGTGACCTCTGCCTTTTCCCTCTGGTGTCGTGACTGCTCTCACATGGTACCTGGGGTTTCTTCCTGACTAGACTGAGAGACTGCTGGAGAGGCATTGGAGGGATTAACCCTGCCCACGAGGAGCTCTGAGCTAGCTGGGCCTGGATGAAGGCAGTGGCCATGGGGGTGTGGCCTGGGAACCACAGCTGGCCCTAGTCCTCTCCCTCTTAGCTCTGTTGTCCTCTGCTCCGTTTCCTGGGTACCCTCAGGTGAGAGCAGCTTTCCTCTGCCAAACCCTTCTGCCATGATATTCCTGCCTTTCAGTCAGGCAGCCACTGACTGAGTCCTTTGAAATCATCAGCCAAAACAAACCTCTCCGTCTTTAAATGGTGGGTGTCAGATATTGTGTCTTGTGTCCCAGCAGCAGGAAGGCTGACCAATACACATACATGTTGATTTTTTCCTTACGAGTCATATCCTGCTTCTTGATAAAGACAGTAGTCATTCTACAGGATTCTGTCCTCTGACTTGTCTGTTCTCTTCTCTTTTTTTTGATACCAGGGATCAAACTTAGGACCTTGTGCTTGTGAGGCAGGTGGCGGCACCACTGAGCTAAATCCCTGGCCCTGTGGGTGGATGATATACAATTGAAAACAAGTAAAATGACCATAGAATAATGGGCGATTCTCACAGTTTTGTTGTGAATCTTTTACTTCTTTATTGGAGCATTAACTTTTTATTGTAATGCTGCACTTTATAGAAAGCATCGGCTCACCTGCTGCTTTGCTATTTCTTAAAGGGTCTCCTGAGTTTATTTAAGCAAAACAGAAACATTGTCAGGAAGATGCATTATGATACAGTGGGAACCCATAGCATTTTCAGATAAAAATTTTAGACTTGCACGCAGTTCCCTCTATCCGTTCATCTATGTATTCAGTGGATATTTATGGCTTTTTACATTTCAGGGGTCTCTATGCCCAAGCTGCTAATAGAATTAGAAAACTCCTCAGACAGTATCTTCCTCCACCTTCCGGGAAATGTACTCTTCCTGCATGCCGCAAGATCAGAAAAGCTACCATCTTTGCTCTGAGGGTGACATAATAATTTGTGGAAGTAATAAGTATGTAAAGGGAGTTACAGGCGCACAGTCATCAGCAAACCGTGAACTTCAGTCTCAGGAGAAGAAATAGAAAATTGACATCAACAAACTGAAACTGAGTCCTTGGCCTGATGCTGCTGCTTGCCAGAGCTGTCACCTCCGAGTCGCTGTCATTTCTCTTAAAAATGAGAATGATGAAGATGCTTTGGAAACTTAGATGCTGTGTAAATATAATGTAGCAATTTGGAAAAAATCCTTACTTAGTAGTAAAAGAAAAAAGAGAAGGCCTTCAAGTGTATCAGCATTTTAGAAGTTTGAACATCCATAAATTAAGCTTTAAAATTCTTATTTATTTATTTTGTTGGGTTTTTTTTTTTTTTTTTTTTGGAGACATCCCAAGCTAACCTTGAACTCACAGCGATTCTCTTGCCTTAGCCTCCTGATATAAATGAGACAGAAATTCAGAAATTCTCTTTTTGAAATTTAAAACTATTAATATTTTTAAAGGAAATAACGCAGTTTTTGTTTTTTCAGGGCAAGCTGGTTCTTTTGCTGTTCTATGCAATCCCACTGTTTTCTAGCGCGGGGTGAAGACTGGTGATACATTTTTATTTAGTCTGCATTGTTTTCTTTCAGGAATTAAAAGATTTAGTTCGCTGGAGAATAAAGACTTCCGAAGGCTCCCGTTAGAGAGCAAAGCTCAGGTTCCCCATGCTCCTTTGCCTACTGCTGATGGGCCGCCGAGCTCCTTGCGCTCGTGGTCTGGGGTCAGCTGTGACCCGCAGGAGCCCACAGCCGGGCCCCCTCTGTCCAGCGAGGACAAACCTCCCCAGGCGCCTTCTCCGGGTAGCTGGGCACCCGAGGCCCGAAGCGCAGCTCCCTTCCTGGAGAAGCCCGGGAACCGGTCCTGGCGGAGCAGGTGGCTGAAATTCCAGAGCCCGCCCCCGCGCGTCTCGGCTGCTGGGGCAGAGCCTGGGCAGCGCTCAAGGCAGGCGAGCGAGGCCCCCACAGACCGC